ACAGATTGCATGTAACTACCAACTTGACCTCATTCATTCCCTGACTGATAGCACTGTTTCTTTAAAGCTGGCATTGGACGGTCGCAGACCTGGTCCCCATTTTCAAAGCAATCATTTCAAAGGCACCAAGTCGCAGTAATTTTGGCTGCGTCACAGTCTCCACGCACTGTTTTACTCGGTGTAAGGTTTACACACTAAAACGACTTATTTAAATTAAAACTCCAAAATCTACTTGGTTAGGTTGCATTTAAATGTGATCCCAGGGGGTCGTTTTGTAATCATGTGTATTTGAGCAAGTAATTTATAACTACTAGATGCCACAGGCTTATTTTTAAAAAAGATATTTGATGCTCTTGGAAAAGGAACGAACTTGCATTGCAGGAATAAAACAGTTGTTTACCATATTCACCAGTCTCCTAACTCTGGGACTGTAAGAATTTACACCAGAATAAACAATAATGTTTGCAATAGTTTCTGAGATACTTTAATCTGGACTAAAGTGGCGAAAAGGCTGCAGCAGGCCTGATGCTTATAAATTCCTATCCATCTTATTATTTTAAGTAAAGGACAACAATTTACAAATTATTTCAGAAAAATGAATCATGAATGAATCAGTGCTTTACATTTATAGCATATTTAAGAAGTCACTGGAGAAACACAGGGCTGTTTTCTATTTTCCTTCCATGTGGGCTACTGTTACGCAGAATCAGACCCTATTCAACTCCCACACTCCTATATTTAACTGGAACACAAGTAACACAGCATCAGTGCCCAGCACATGCACAGAATAGCTCTCCGTGTTTAGACAAATCCAAACGGGCACATTTCCATGACACCTTAAAAAGATAAATTTGGTAATGGTGGCAGTGGTGGTGGCGGTGCTGTGACTGTGTCTAAATCTGGAAAAAAACAGAAATAGAAATGAAACTGAGCTTTATAACCATACCGCCTTCCCCTGTCCCTTTCTCCCCCCAGGCTCTATGACGTGACAAGAGTCCCCCTCGACACTCTTGCACTATGGAAAGCATTGATGACCCCTTGACAGACAGCCAATTTCCAGCTACCACCACCACCACCACCATTACAACAGCTCCACCCTTACCTTGGCCTCAAAGGCAGGAAGCAACACAAGCAGCTACAGAGCACCAAGAGCCTTGTGGAGGCAGTAAGGTACAAGACAAATCCCTTGAATTAGGATCAAGAAATCCTTAAATGTATGACTAGAGCCTGACTGATATAGGATTTTTGAGACCGATACTGAGACTTGGTGATTAGAAAAAAGATAAAGATCTGATATACTCGTTTATATTTTAATCTTTTTTTCACATTCACATCGTTAAATATAAACAGACACACATATATACACACATTTGTCATATATTTGGTACAGTTTTATTTATGAGTCCTTAACCCTTTAAAGCCGGTCGGAGCGGGCACGCTCTGTTTTGCACAACTATTTTTAAATCCTGGTAGCTCTGCAACCACGTAAGCTAGCGCAATAATTTTTTTTGCACATGAAACCAGAGGAGTTGTACTTACATCTTATGCCATCAGCTTGTCTTAGGTCACAGTTTCCTTCCACATATGGCTTTGCAAAAATTGCATAAAAGCACTTGCAGCAACAAAAACATAATATTCCAGAAACACGCTTTACCAATCCGATCAGCTGTTTGTAACACTTCCTACGTCCATCAGCGCGAACTATCGCATGTCCGCCAGGACCTGCCTAAGGCCTGAGTGACGTCATTTTGTGGAAATGTAGTTTTTACCATCAGGGCCTTATGAGCCTATACTGGTGTTTTTAAAAGTTATCTTTGACTTTATGACTTTCTGTGTCGTTTCTGGGATGCTTAGGACTCATATTGCACTGCTGGAAATAGTTTATTTTGATGCATATGCTGTTATTTTGCAAATTTGCACTATAATATTTATTTTCGTTTTTCCTGCAGTATATAAAAATTGGTGTATTTCAAAAATAAAACTATGAAGACACTTAAAATAAATTTCCTGTGGTGGGAAACTATTTTGTGCAACTTTTTTGTATTTACAGTTTTGAGGGATAAACCTCTTAAATTTCTCTAACTAGAAATATATGTTAAAAAAAACAAAAACGATTTTCGATTTTTTGGTAGTTTATTGCACTTTTTTGCAATTTATGTAATTACTTTGCACTTAATGCATACATATTATTAAAGTTTGGGGCATAATGGTTGTATTGATGTATATCAGCTTGAAATGCTCCCAAAAATGGCACTACAACATGTAAAAATATAATATAAGCTCTGGCGGACTTGGGTTCTATGGTAGGTCTTAAAGGGTTAATAAAAATAAAAACTATTATTAGCTGTGCATATTCGATTGAGGAGATTTCTTAAATCAGATGGCCTTCTTAATCCAACCCCATACTGAATGTGTCTCATCCCAGAATCATAGTGAGGATCTAATGTGTATAACATTACACTATAGAGCCACTACAAGCTTAAAAATATATCATTTGTACATTATAACTGCCCAATCAACAGCTACAAATGCCGATATCGACGTATCGGCAAATAAAAATATCGGCCGATGTGTCGGTCCTGCTGATATATCTGTCGGGCTCTGCTTTATAACATCTTGTAATGAAGGTAGTTTTCCACATGACCTTACAGAGGTAACGGATCTTGCCTGTTGCTCACGGTCAAATGTCTTAAAAGTGTATGAAAATCATTACAAGCGACATTATGAACTCATTACAACACTAAGACCGAATCTTTCAGCTTTAGCAGAACACACAAACAGCAGGAAGCGTAGACTCTCATAAATCCTGATACAATTTAAGCGAGCGTCTGCTTGTTTGATATCCTTGTTTGGCTTATGTATTTTACCATAAGCTGACAATTTCCCTGGTGTGTGTTTAACCAGAGAAAATCCATGTGTGCAGCAAACCCCCCCCCCCTCAGTGTATTCTCAGCCTGCTTTATTGGCATGCCTTGTATATTGTTTTAAAGTCTTGTGTCAGATGGTGGCTGTGCACTTAAATAAAACAAGGCGCCAGACAGACTCTGATATTAATAAATAGTGATCGGGAAATAGAGAGTGGCCCTGCAATAAATTTAAGGTACAGCATTATAAAAAAGGGATAAGGCCAAAGTCATAAAAACGGCCACTTTTGTGGAGTCTTTGAGAAACAGGCTCTTCTTTTGGTCAATACTGTCAGCTTTTATGGCCCATGCTATAATTTGCTTTTGAGGAAAAATGTGATCCTGCTGCTTTTCACTCCAGACAGCAAGTCTTCAGTAGATTTGGAGCTATAAATAGAAAAGGGGTGGAATGTGTGTGGTGAACTTGGGTCTCTGCACAGTGCATCAAAGAGATTATTGTCTATTTACTCACAGAAGAGGCCATCTGAGATTGGATTTAAACATTTGATCCTTTAATATATATTCTGAAGGAAGACGATTCTGCATTGCCTGCGAGCAGCTGATCACACACAGAGCCACGCAACGCAGTAGCTTTACGAGCAGCTGTAGTCGATGCATAAAAGTATTGAAGAACACGTTGGCAACATTGTCACCAGCCTGATGCCACCGTGGTTAAATCTGTTCTAATACTCCACTCTTGAGCATTAAGTTCTGATCATATTGTAGAATGCAGAGAGTGAACTGTGTTTGCTTTGATGTTCTGAAGAAATGCAGTATGAAAGGGCTGATAATGACATAACACATAGCTTTGAACTCTTTCCTAATGTGGAATGGGGCCTAGTGTCTGGAGGCGCGTGCATACATGTTCATGTATTTTGATCTCAGCATCTGCTTCAGGCATTATCCAACTTCACAGCATGTAATGAGCGATTTCCCATCCCTTATTAACCTGTGGATCATTCCTAGCCAACAAGTTCGCTTATGAATATTCATCTGGAATCATGTTGTGCCGCTCGCCTGCTAAAATCTGAAGAGAGAGCGCGGGGCTCAGCTGCACAAGACTTAACGTTAAAGGGCGAGCGCAGAGACGAGCGTTAGAAACGAGCAGGAGATCCAAAAGCAGACGCACTGTGGAACGAGCTGAACAGGAGGGCTTCAGCGAAGCTTCCGGCGAATGTACAAAAACACATCAATTAATCCGCTGGGTCCTCTTGAGATTTTGCATTATTCCCAGCAAACAGCGCCTCGATGAAGAGTGCGGATAGGCAAAGTGGATCAATGTTCTTTCATGCGCACCCACCGACTTGTTCCCCCGTGGGTCACGTGGCCGTGACATTTCGAGGAAAGTCAGCAAGAGTTCAGACAGAGAAGAAATGTCAAGCCAGGGCCGTATGTCCAGGTGCATTCGCTTTCAATACTTCCAACTCGCAAAAATGCTTTTATTTAGAGCAGTGCGACGCAAACGAAAGCCACTGCCACATGTATGCACATTCTCATTTTTGTTGCATTAAAGTGCTTCAGCTGTGGCCTCGAGACAGGAAGCAGCCTGTACCGTCCCTGAAATCAAATGTTTTCCGCATCCTCGATCAAAAGCTGCCGGGCGCGTATCGATAAGTATTGAGTGGTTTGTCCGCTTGCTCCATAAGAAGAGAAATGCTGCACAAATTACACATTAACACAGATGGATTCAGTCCACGATGCTCCCTTCTGTTACTATGACACCCCCAGCAGTTATCAGTCTCAATCGAAAGTCCAATTCACGCCACCGTCCTAAACGTTTGCCCGGCATGTTCAATAGCCAGAGAACCGCCGCATAATGCTTCCCTCTACTCTGCACCACCACCTGCCACCAGAGTGTAAAGTATTTGCTCGCTGTCTGCGTAGCTGCTTCCCGATAAACTCTAAGCAATAATCACCCAAGGCCTGTGAATGTTATTCACGGGGCAGATTCATCTCATATTCGTCTGACATTCGCTGCTGTTTTTAAATGGGAAGGCTTGCGTTTCCCTGAGACGAGAGTTGCGCGTGAGATTTATGAGAAGCCGTTCACAACAGCGTGGCTGTGAAAGAAAAAAAAGGGAGCAAAAAACAAAACAAAACATAAAGACGATATTAAAAAACAAAAATCCACCACGGTAGACACACACTATGTGGCTTGAATAAAACAAGACCCTGTCTATATGCTGTGTCTGCTTGAAAATCACTTGCATTGTATTTCTTTTCTTCCACATTTTTGTGCGACTAATTTATCCTCCTTCCATTTTACCAGTGGCTTCTTACTGCTGAGCTGTAGTCTCTGTGTGCCCTCTAGGAGGCACAGAGAGAAACTGTGCTTATTATGCTAGGATTAAACACCTGTTTTGGCCAGGCATCACAGTCAAGCAGTTAGCAAAGTCATGGCCCTGCTTTAACCAAGTAAACCTTTGGGTAATTCCATGCCCAGCTCCAACAAAACCATGACATTATCTCCATTAAAGCCCGAGCTCACTGAGATGTTTATTATTCCCAGAGCATAAGACATTGTCATCTGTGATACATGCTAGAACCCCGTTCAACACCTGCCCCGTTCATGGTAATTTGCACCCTGTGAAATCATCAAGAGTTCATTATTATGAATTAAGCTTCAGTGGCAATGTCTTGGAAGGCATCAGCACCTCTATCAAGTTGGCTGTGTGACTGGCGGGGGCCAGATGGTGAGGAGGCTCCGAGATTTGTCTTTCTGCTGCTAGATTAATTGTTTTTCAGTGTCTGCACCGTGAGACTTGTTTTGTTACTGGGTTATACCCCCTGAAGAGTTCTAAATATTTGACTCGTAAAGCTCTCATACAATCCTGTAATTAACATCTAAGTCTGGCACGGAGCAATAGTCATGTGTGATGCTTATGTCAACACAATGGCTGCGAAAAAATATATTTGTTCTTTGGAAGAATAGACTGGCATACTGAGAATGATCCCTATCAGCTTTACTGCTGAAATTTCAGTGAGATGCCACTCTCGTATGGTTTTGTTAAAGGGTGCTTCAAGAGTAGCCACTTAGCGTTGTTTTATTTTTAACATTATGGCGGAGGAGGAAAGGAACAGTTTGCTCTGCTCTGTTTTTTGAATGGACTAAATGTAAGCCTTGCTAGCTTATCTTAGAAAGAAAAAAAATTATGTCAAATGTCCCTAAAGATCACTATAATAATATAGCTATATAGCTATAGAATAGCTCCAAATGGTGGAATGTCATTTTTATATATTTATTAATTAATGAGCTTTTGAGATGTTTGCATGTGACCTTTAATATTTGGACACTGCAAGGCTAATCGTTTAATTCTGCGTAGTCTTTTTGATAAGCTGAATTAATCGTAAACCAAGCTAGAGCCCTTATTTCTCCATATTTTGCTCCCAAAGAAACAAACTTTCTTGTGATTTTTGAAAGTGGTCTTGAGCAATAGTTCTCCAGCATTTCTGAAGGATTTTCTTTGGATATTGGCTGCTTTTTAAGACATTTTCAGCCCAGCCCTTGGACCTGACCATTTTCAAAGGAATGGTTCTTGTGTAATTTTCTTAAGTTGGTCAAGAAAAACAAAACACAGACTGAACATTAATGACAGTTGCTCCCTTTTCAGCATGAATATAATCACAAAGACACAGGCCATGCAAGAAGCCATACCTGGATAAAACAACATGCAATGGAACGCCATCAGTCATGAATTGGCCTCCCTAGAGCCCAGACCTCAAAATTACTGAAGTAGTTTGGGATCATTTTCATAGGAACAAAAGGCAGCCAACATCCAGAGAAAACCCTTGAATGTCCTTCAAGAATCCTGGAGAACTATTCCTAAAAACTATTTAAAGAAGTGACAAGGAAGCTTGCATAAGAGCACTCAGGTTGAAGAATAAAGAGGGTCATACCAAATATTGACTTTTAAGTGCAGAGTTGTACAAACTCTGTTTTGGCTTTGAATACAGTATTTACATGTTTGTCTGCACCTGTTTCCCCAGCAAAATATATAGAATTAAGATCTGACTTAAGACTTGTGCACAGTACTCTATATACACAAGTAGTATCAGTCTTGTCGTGCAACTCTTGGCAAACAAGTGAATAAACAGATTGCAAACTTTAAAAGGAGATGACGATGCTTATTTGAATGAAAAAGAACATTCCCGTTGCAAATAAAAAGCCAGCGTCACATATGTGAATTGTGTTTAAAAAGACAAAATATATTTTCTATCATTTTCTTTCTGCTGGCCATAGAAGTGAAAATATTTGAGCCAAAATGTTTTTGATACAACACATCCTCAGACATTTCTCTGTGGAGCTGAGCATGACTGTGACCGAGTGCTAAAACAGTTCTCTCATGTTTGCTTTGTTCTTGTTGATTCACAGGTCTCGTAACACAGCCAGAGACGGGAAAACCAGGGAGTGATTGTTTGAGGGAGTCATCTCTCCCTGTGACACTGGACAAACTTACTATAAAACACTTCCTGTTTCCTGTGACTGGCCACCGCGGGTTTCTGACTGCTCCCTCCTGCTATCTGTCGTTGGGTCAACACGTTGTATCCACCTCCTCTCCACTGTTATCTGCCTGCTCTGTGAATTTAGCAGCACATGCTCATGCCACGGAGGTTCGGACACCTTAAAATCCCATGAATGTTTGTTTGGTTTTTTTTTTGCCTCACTGGAAGTCCACTGTTTGGAGCTGCTAACTGCTTTTAATACGGGATTTCCCACATCTCTCTCCTAGACTCTAGTGCAGGAGTTCCAGGGCGAAGACGGGGTCATTACAGAACACAATGTGACGCTTCTCAGACCAGCTCGCGAGGCCGTAAAAACCGAACCGAGCGCACTCTGCTGTGAATAGGCCTTCTGCTGGAGTAAACCTCCCATATTTTTATAGACCAAAGAGCAAAACAACAAATATGATCATTATGACAGAGAGGACCATCTGGCAAAGACACACGGAAACGTTGTTAACATGCTTTGAGTGTCGCCACCGACCAACGACTGCCCCCACAGAGACTCCGTGCACAAACGAACCTTTGCAGCCGGCGGCGTACGTGCCGAACACAATCAAAGGAGTACTTTTCAAACTTTACGGACATTTTTTCGCAGACTAAGCTCACCACTGTATTTTGGAACTGGAGATATAGGTACTACATACGTATAACTGTGTATCAAAAAAAAA